CAAGCATGGCTGGGCGTTTGGCAACGGAAATTGTCAGGGTATCTGCATCAGCACCAACACAACGCTCAACTGCCTCCTTTAATAGACTGCCGGGGTAGTCTTTTCGGGTGAGGAACCATCTCTCTTCTCCGCCCCCCAGCAGACAAACTCCCTCAAGCGGGCCGTTGCGGTACATCATCTGGGGATCTTTCCACGAGTCTCTGTACTCAAAGAGGATGTCATGCTTTGGCAGGTGCCTATCCGTAACCCCATCAGGACAAACTGCGAGCAGGACGCCGTGAACAAGGTTCAACTCCTGTCCAAACTCATGCGGCCTTGTTTGAATGCCAACAAACAGCGCATAATCAAACACTCGTCTTGGCAAGAGTTTACGAATGAACCTATCCCAGGCATCAAAATGGAGTCTGGTTGGTAGGTTGGCTGCGAATCTTCCTCCCCCGATGGATCTCATATCCACCAGGACCGCCACCAGTCCATTATAATCAAGCAAAGGGGGGTACGCCAGAAAGGAGGCGTAGCCCTCATCTGAGACAGGTTCGACAGGCGTGACACACGTCAAGCATTCCAAAGGGACGCGGGTATTGACGAGCCGCAGTTTGCGTACTACCTGCCCTATGTCTTCTTCAGGCTCGACTCGGATGGCAATGTAATCTTCTTGGTACTGGGCCGCATGCAGCGTGATACCAAGGTATCTGGCTTGTGGCATCGGAGAGCCACTGTCTTGCTCAGAAGGGACTGGGCTGCCTATACTAGGAAAGTAAGTTATCGGTCTTGTCCCAAAGGCCTCGCGGCCTGGGGCTGCCTCATCTGGGTGCACGACAGACGGAGGAGGCGGACCTTGCTGTTGTTGGGCATATTCCCCTGAGCTGTCGTCATCATCAGTCTCTGAACCACCACTAAGGTCTCTGGGCGCGGGGTCTGTGATACGTTCAGCGTAGAAAATCAATGCTGAGTGTCCCCCAACAAAGACTTCGTCCTCTACATTACGCCCTCCTGCAGCACGAAGGCAGAACGTAGACGGTAGCTTGAGGCTTTGTGCAGCAGCTAGGCTGGGCAGGTGTACTACCGGATGATGAGAGTGCACAACCGTAGGCAGTAAGCCAACTGCTCGGAGGTCACACAAGATGAAAAAGTCCCTTCGATAGGCCTGAATTGTTTCCGGTTGCGGCCACGGCAAATCCGCTACAAAGTATACGGAGGAGCAGTCAATGCCGAAATAATTCAGATCGTCAGACTGGAAACGACAAGTAGTAACATCTTTGAGGCGTCGGCCAACGCGCTGAGCGATTGCCTGTGCAAGGCCTTCTGTGACATGATCTCCATCGCTGGCTGTGAAGATGCCACTAGAGTGCAGAACCAGGGTGCCTAGAGGAGGTGTAACCCTGGGAAGCTGAGCTATTGGGCCCCACTCGGCTCCCACACGGAACAGCTCTGAGATCAGATGATCTTGCACAGCGATCTGCAAATCCCCAACTACAATGACCGCATCCCCGTCTCGAAACACAAAATCCTGGCCATGTGTCCAGGGCGCCTTTCTTGCACCTACGTAGAACCACAGTTGATCTACTGCAGCTGAGGTGTGTGGCCTGATGAGGTCCTCGAACTCTTGATATGGCATGACGCTTTTCGCAATTATGGCCGCATAATTGCCACCTACTCGTGTCAGGTCTATCATGATTGCTGACAGGTCCATTCCATCTCGGAACCTGATGATGCTGGGGAAGCGCAAAAACTCCCCATACGAAGCAAAACGGTGATGCGTGACTGGAACAATGGATCTGTAAAGACCAGGTGGTACCCCTACCGCATGTTCATCAATTAGATGCATTACCTCATGAATATCTTGGTCAGCATCAAGCTTGCAGGCTAAGGAGACGGATCTGTAGTAACGGGTGTGAACATGAACCCCTAACCAATCCTCAAGTCCCTCAACTGTTCCCTGGTGTGTTGCATCTCCAAGGTGGCGGACACGCACAGAGGGCTCAATTGCTCCTTCATCCCACGGTACTCGCACATTGAAGTCCCCTTCGTACGTAGCAACATCTCCTGGCGGTGTTGGAAACGGTTCTGGCGGAGGGATAGGGTGCATGCCACCATCTGGTACAGTCATAGCTTTGCTCCCTAAAATCCAAGTGCCTCGTATGAGCATTCCCTGTAAAGGGGTGACCTTGGCATGGCAGCAGCCCAGGCTGCGACACAATGCAACAAGCCATAGGCATCGTCCCAAATGGGAGCCTCCATTTGGCTTAGGCGCTTGCTTCACTCTGCCTTTTCTATCTGTCCAAGGTTCCCAGTTGAGGCAGCGCATGTTTCGATTAGTGCTGCAGCCAACACTACCCAAGGCAGCCACAACACATACAGGAACTGCTGCAACTGGGAGATAGCTGGCTTTCCAGAGCGGTGAACCATGCCCTGGGGCCGCAGACAGTAGGAGCTTAAGCAGGCCACCGAACACACACCCCACCAAGGAGAGCGCAAAGGACTCAAAAAGCTCCATAAGGTGAATGAGTATCCAATGGAAGCCTGACAGGCCATTTTGTGCACTGCAGCACTCCCAAACTCCAGCTCCCGCCCCTGAGCGACCGATGCGGGTATTTCGCGCTTGGAGATATGAAAAAAGGGAGTATCCTACTTGATCCTCAGCACATGGCGTAGGAAGCCAAGAAGCATCACGAGTCCAGTGACACTCAAAGCTTCGCGAGGACAAGACGTTCCTGTCGTCAAAATCAAGACCATTCCCGTCTTGTTTTGACAAACAAGGGCCGTATGCGATCTGGAGGGCAGTACGACTTATAGTGTCTTTTCTGTCTTGGTAGACAGCGGAGTTGTGATCTGAGAAAACGGGCCTCAGACTTCCGGCCTGAATGGACATCTCCAAATCCCCAGTCCTGTCCGTGACAGACAGAGAGTATGGGTTTTCGGGAACAGAACACTTCATCATGCAGGAGACAACATAGAAAACCACCCACGGTCCCCTGTGGAAAAAAGGAAACTGCTCATCTACCGCAGAACTGTACAGAGCTGCACTTGCCTCAGTGTCCTCGCTCCTGAGACACTTTCCCCAACCGCTACCAGCGCTGGCGTCTTGCCCAAGGGACTCGTTGCTGTCCCAAGCAAACTCTGGGTCCTCTAGGCGACATAACAGCGCTGTGCAGTGGGAAAAGTGAGTCAGAAAGCTCATATGATGATGCTTCACTGTCCGGTCTCGGGTGGCTCCGTGGGGTGTGGCACCGCATTCGCTGGAGGAGGTACTAGCATCTCGTCTTCGTCGTCTTCCTGAATATCCACCTGACCCAGGGCCGCAACTTGTCCATTGACAGTTACTCTTCCGAGCAGGCCATCCGTAGGGAGGCCAAAGGGGTTCAGGGCATGTCGTCTTGCATCCAGCTTCTCCGATAGAGAGTTCGGGCCTCCATTCACTGGGTGTACTGGCTGAATTGGTGCACCCCCTTTACCGGGATCCTCTGAGAAGGCTTGGTACGCACTTGCGGGCTCACATTCGGCATCACTGCCGGGCCAGCCGACTTGGGGAGCCCGACACTTGTAGTCGAAGGTGACCCAAGGTATGGTGCTCCTGTGTCGGGGGCTGCTGCAGTCATTTGTCCTTTGTGCAGCCCCGAAGGTGCAGCTTCCGGCATGCCAGCGCATGACGTAGCAGTTGGCTCCGGCAGACCAGCCAAAGTGGCATGCAGGAGTCTGCGTGCTGCCTCTGGATCCATGAGCCTTCCGTCGCTCCTGCCGCCCACCAATGGGGCCGTAGCATTTTCGGCCTGGCTGGCTGCCATCAGAGCATCTCTCAGGAAGCCGGGCTCCATCTGCGGCTCTGCACTGTTCACCAGTGCTTCCCAGGCTCCCTCTGTCTCCTCCATGGGGGTTGTGGTTCTTACCGCATCCATACCATGTAGCACCAGAGCTTGCACGACTCGCGACGCTTCCTGTCCGGTCTGTGTTGTAGATTGTATGTCTTCTTCGATTCGCGCAAGGGCCTCCTCGTACCGCTTCTTCTCCTTGAGGAAGGCTGCCTTGGCTTCCTTCTGGTACTGCTGGAACTGGGCCTCCTTCGTCTTCTTGTCCTCGCGGAGTCTCCTCACCCTGTTGTCGGCCTTCTTGGCCGCCGTCAAAGCTCTTTGCACTTCTTTCCGCACTGCCGAGTCGCTGTTGCCCTCCACATCTTGGTCGGTATGATGTTGCGACTGCTGTGGCAGCACGACATGGTCGTATTGCGGTCGGCCGGAGGTCCGAGGTGATGAAGCATACGCACCATGCCATAACTGCCATGATCGCCCATAGCCTTTGGCGTACTGGCCGTAGCCTTCCCACTCTCTCTGGCCTCCATGCTTCTGAGCTCCGTCTCCTTTGGGCCATCTTTTTCCTCCCATGGAACTTGGTTGTAATTCCCTGTAGCGCGGTCGACTGTGATGCCCAGCGAGGAGCCTGAGGTCCTTAGCCCTGGGGGCGATTCCCGCTCTGCGGGCTTGCCAGATACGATGTCTAGCTTGCGTCCTCCGCAAACGGAGTCTCCTGTGCCACGCCGGTGATTTTATGGCGGCGGGCGGATCGCGTGCTGTCCTAGCACTGGGGTCGTCAGCGATACACCGTCCTTTTGGACAGTGTTTGATCTGAGACGCCTATCTATCACTATATATATATATATATATACACTATATATATACACTATATATATACACTATATATATATACACTATATATAAAACTACCCCTTATTAACTACTATATACATATGTGGCATCGTCACTATTTCGCCGAAGCTCGCATTGGAGTCCGGCCTTAGGATGCTTGGAGGGCTGATTCTGGAGCCTTGAGGAGCTTGCAGCTGGTTCGAAGGATGTGATGAGGTGTGATGGGTGGTTTGGGGTTTAGGGTTTAGGGTTTACGGTTTAAGGTTTAGGGTTTAGGGTTTAGGGTTTAGGGTTTAGGGTTGAGGGTGGGAGATGTCCTCTTCGCCAAAGCTGACCCTGTCGTCATTTCACTGGCCCGAGGTACAGATGCTTCAAGAGCTGCTTGGCAGTTATAAAATTATTGCTAAACCTACCACCCACAAGCATGAAACACACACCGAGGTTCATTTAGCCAGTTTCGCACGGCCATCAGCACTACCAACAGTACAGTACGCGCGATGGGCCTTGCATGTTTTGGAATCCTTCCGGTCGATACACGAGGCAAGTCAGGTTAGGCACTAGTAGGGGTTTAGGGTTTAGGGGTTTAGGGTTTAGGGTTTAGTTGGGTGCACGAGTCTTAGGCAGAGCTGCAGTTCCAACCAAGATACTTTCCAGAAGGATGCGATTACGGATAAAAGTGCGCGTGTTTTTTGTCAGTCGCTTTCTTGGTTGCTAGAAAGGCTACGACCGATGCTCGTGAGGTCAATCACGTACCCCCGACACTCAGCGTAATAAGGCTCAGTAAGGCTCGTTCAGGCACTTCTATTCTTGCCCTTCCTAATGGCGCACCAACCAGATTTGCAGAGCCACTTCAGTCACGTTTCTGATCTCTAGCAGTACTAATTCACACTGGCAAAAGATTTCGTTAATTCTGATGGTGGGTTCTGGAGCTCAGAACTTTCCACACTTTCTGCCGCATCGGAGCTACCGTAGGTAGCTTTTTCCATGACTGGTACACTCAAGCGGCTGTGGCGAACAGTATTCGTGATACTTTTAATTACCAATGAGAGGGGTCATTACCCAGTATACCTGTCGAATCTAATGTGCCCAGAACTTAGAAGGAAAACATCGTTCGGGATACTAAGACACCACACTACAGCTGTACCCATCGTGCTGGTAGTTCCAGTTAAGGCTCGTTACCAGTGCTGGCAATACTTCGAGTATTACCAGTAGCAGCTTATTGGCAGTCACCGCAGGGGCAGCCGGACACTGCTACATTCGTCATAGTCGTGGTCGTCGCCGTCCTGATTGTTGAGATTGTGGATGGTGGTGGCTGTGACGGCGGTGGTGGTTGTGGTTGTGGTGGTTGCTGTCGCTCTTCTGGGCCTTGTGTTCGTTCTTCATAAACCCTAAACCCTAAACCCTAAACCCTAAACCCTAAACCCTAAACCGTGGTCTTCGTTGTCGGAAGCAAGTCATTCTAACCAGGCGCACCAGATTTCAGCTTCGCAGGATGTCCCCAACATGGCATGTTCCCAGAGACCCCAAAACCCCTTAATTAAGGAATATACCTTAAATTATAATAGGATCCCTAATATGATTTAAGGTATATTCCTTAATTAAGGGGTTTTGGAGTCTCTGGGTTTTTCTGACTGAGGGAGCTTCGCAACCTCAGCGATGGCTTGGCGCAGAAGGCTGGTTGCAACATTGAAGAACAGGGTTGGTCTGCTGACTCTTTTTCTACTTGGAGGTTCATGGGTAGTTATAAGTAGGGTTATAAGTAGGGTAACTATAATTATAACCCATATTAGGGGACTTATAACTCCACTTATAACTACCCATGAACCTCCAAGTACTCTGTTGCGATGCTTAGAGGCCCTAAGGGCACCTCGGGGTTCTAAGCGGTGCTTTCCGCAGGAGGAGGACATGCTCAACATCCAGTTCAGCATGGTGGAACTGCAGAATCGATGCAGCGATCAGGGCGTGGCATCCCCGGTCTTCGAGCTACTTGTGCAGTTCTTGAAGCGCCCCCTCTTGGCGAAAAAAGTCACGAGATGCTCCAACGCTGAAGCTTCTAGAGTCTAGAGCCAAGGCCCTGGTCGAGGAGAATGCAGACGCTTTCCAGAAAGCCTCGGAGGAGCTCGCCGAGAAGGAGGAGGCACCTCTCAGACGACACGAAGCCCCCAAGTTCTAAATGCGATCGCAATGTGAGATGGTACGACCCAACATTATATGACACAGATAGTCGAAGAATATCTATACCAACAGCTTTGTCTGAAGAGTCTAAAGCCAACTCCTTAACTATATCCATATCTACATGTGCATCTGTGTCTGTACCAACATCTACATCCATAGCTGTATCTATATCTACATCTGATTCTACAACTACCTCTACATGTACATCTTCATCCATGTCTACATCCCTATCTGTATCTGCAGCTGTCATAGATAAGTAGATAGGTAGATGGGCAGGCAGACAGACAGATGAGACATTGCAAAAAAACGAAGATAAGGCAAGATAATGCAGTCTGACAGAAAAGAATATAAGTACAATCCCAACAGAGTATAAGTACACTGCAGTTTGATAAATAACAAAGTATATAGCACGCTACAATGCAAGCATAGGGGCTATCACATACCGTTTACAGTGACTAACCTATAATACAACAAAACTATCAAATAACATATGATACCCTAAACCCTAAACCCTAAACATATTCTCATAAACCATCGTTGAACACGAGCCGTCTATTGCTTAGGCTCTGGAGCAGGCAATCCAAAGGCAGCAGGACCGCCTCGGGGGTTGTGCAGAGATGGGTCCCGCTGAGTTTCGCGTTTGGGGCTGTCAGGGTTTTATAGAAGTTTACTAGGGTTTGGGGTGCGGAGTTTTGGCGGTTTTTTTTTTGCTTTTCCTTGCCCTGCCTACGCCCTGCCCCTGCCCCGCCCCTGCCCTTCTCTGCCCTGCTCCGGTCTTCTCCGGTCTGCTGGGCTGCCCCTCCTTTATCCTTGCCGGACTTATTGCTAGAAGCCGCAATAATCCGCGAGAAACCTGGACTGCCCAACCTACAACTTCAGTTTTTCATTTGCTTGAGGGTTGAGGGTTTAACGTTTAAGGCTGAGTATGGAGTTTCAGGTTGTGGGTAAATAGTCTGCAAGGAATCGGTAGCAGTTGCAAATAAGTTCGCTGGGAGCACGAAAGTTCAGCAGCTGCTGCATTGGCTTAACCCCGAGCCGCAAACCAACTTCTCTGGCTCATGGTCGGCCCGCGTTTGGGACCCAAAACCTCAGGGCTTTGCGGTTTAGGGTTTAGGGTTTAGGGTTGAGGGTTTGGGTCTTGGAAAAAGTTGCTAGGAGCTGCGCCAGCAGATGAGTGCTGCATCGACAGCGCTCCAGGGGCAGGTGGGCTGCATGCCCGCATCGGCTCGCTGTGTATCAGTCGGATCAGACTGGATTCTCCTTTTCGCAAGTCCTTTAGGGTTTAGGGTTTAGGGTTTAGGGTTTAGGGTTTAGGGTTTAGGGTTTAGGGTTTAGGGTTTGCCAAACCGGCGAAGGACGACAAGAGTAGGGTCGTGCTTAACAGCGCCAGGTCCGACAACTTTCACAGGAGCTCGAGCACTGCCAGGCGGGACCACACTATCCAAGTTCTACCGATGCCGAAGTTGCAGGTTGTGGAGGTGTTGAGGGGTTTGTATATACGGATTTATAGGCGTCTAGGTTTATGTAGTCATCAACCCGAGGCCGTGAACCCCCATCCCGAGAAGAAGCGCTCTTATCAACCGCACATAGCCAGGCCGCAAAGTCTACAGCCCAGTCTGCTTTGAGCAGGCTGGGTTCCAAGACTGGTAGCGCTGTGACATTAGCAAAAACAGCTCAAAGTTTCGGAATTCAGCGTTTAGGGTTTAGCATGATTGAGGTGGGATTAGGGTTTGGGGTTTTGCATTTTCGTTTTGTCATCCGAATGCCGGATGCTTATAAATCATGACCAGATGTTGATAACCAGATAGAAGCACTTCGAATTGTCTGGGCTTGAGCTTGGCTCTTGTTTAGCTGGGGCGTTGTGAGCCGTGCTACTTCGGGGTCGTGTTGATGGCTCTTTTTGTAGCCCATGGACCCAAAGAGGCAGGCATCTGAGTAGTAATGTGCTGATGGTCGTGCAGCTTTCCAGGACATGCGCAGAACCTGTGCAGAGAATCTAAACCCCAAAATCCTAGACCCTGAAACCGAAACCCCTACATCCAAAAGCCTGAAACCCTAAACCCTGAAACCCTAAGCTTTAGCTTAGAGACCTTAAGAACACTAAACCCTAAACCCTAAACCCTTAAGGGCCCCAGGGCGTTCAGTCCTTCTGCCAGGCTCCAGGATGAGAATGCTTCCCTGGCAGCCCAGCTGCTGCAGGTTGGAGAGACTTCGAGGATTTTTGGAGGGTATCGTCAGTCATTGCAACATAAGGGTAGTTCTCTAAATTAGGGTGCCGTTTAGGGTCCTTTTTATAAGGGTGCCGTACTATATCGGGGACCCACAAAAGGGACCCTAATTTAGAGAACTACCCATAAGTTTTAGAGTAGATGCTAATCCTTGTAGTAACCCGATGAAAACCCCTTACTCCTCAATAGCCCTTATGGTAAACACTATACTTGTAGACGCAATGACAGCCCAGCAGAGCCTGCTGAAGTGCCGACATGGCTTGTTTTGCAGGCGAACACTGAGATGGAGTCTTTGCGTGAAAGGCTTCACGAGCAGGACGCCAGTGAATGATTTGCGATGACAGCAGTTTCAGAATTTCTCTCGGCTGCTGTTGCTGTTTCTGCTGGTGCTTTTGTTGTCGTTTTAGTCGTTGCTGTGTCTTTGTCGGCAGTGGCTGATGTTTTGCTGACTGTGCTTCTGCGCATCGTGTCCTGTCCGTATCTCCGTCCGTCTGTCTGTCTCCCGCACATCATTCTTTACTCTATATATGTACATGAGCTTTCCGGAGAGATGTGCAAAGGTATATGTTTATGCCTATGTATATGAGACTGTAGTTGTACATGTGTGCATGTATGTATGGGTGTGTCCATGCATGTGTGTATGTATGTACATACGCACGCACGTATCTATGTATGTGTATATGCATGTATATATGTATGTACGTATGTGTGTATGTATGTATGTATGTATGTATGTATGTACGTATGCATGTACGTCTGTATGTATGTAGGTGGGCCTGTATGTCTGTATGTCTGTCTGTATGTATGCATGTGTGTATATGTATGTATGTACGTATGCATGTATGTATGTATGTGTGCATACGTGTGCATGTGTATGTGTATGTGTAGATGCATGTGTATGTGCATGTGAATGTGGATATGTATGTGTATGTGGATGTGGATGTGTATGTGAATGTGGTGTATACTTATGTGTGTATATATATATACACATTGTGTACACATGCATATATATATATATGTATATATAGAGAGTGCGTCGGAATACAGGCCCGTGTTTTTCGAGCGAAAAGGGCGATTTTCAGCATATTTTTTATGATGATCAGGCATTTTGGCTTATCTTTAAGGAAATCAAACACAATGGCAAAAAACTACTGCAAGCTTATAAATATATTCAATGGTAATTTATAAACA